TAGAGATCGAATATGTCTATAAAGTTAAATGTGTCATTTGTTACAACATAATTTAAGTATATAAACGAATTACTATAATTTTATTTTTTCTTGGTATTCAATGATGTACCCACCTAAACATATCTCCACAAAATTCACAATGATAAGGTTTTTCGCCTATATGAGTTCTCTCATGAATATGCAAATGCGCTTTGCTCTTAAATTCGTTATTACACGTTCCGCATTTGTATGATACAATCCGCATTTGTATGATACACCTCCAGTATATAAATCGTTATTACACTTGGAACATTCAATATTGTCATGCTTTGCATTCATGTGCCTTTTTAAGGTACTTTTGCACCTGTAAAACAACGGTTACAACTTTTATTACATTTACAGTTATGGTAATTTAATCATTGATATTGAATTACCGAAGTATTTTCCTAGCTCTTTTGTTGTTCACTTAAATACCCACCCAAATTTACGTTTACAAATCTCGCATTGGTAAGGTTTTTCGCCTGTATGAGTTCTCACATGTCTATTCAACTCCCATTTTTTCTTAAACTCTTTATTACACGTTCCGCATTTGTGTGATACACCTCCAGTATATAGATTCTTATTAGACTTGAAACGTTCACCATTTCTGTGCACTGATCTCACGTGATGTGTTAGGTGTTCCTTTCGACTGCAATGCGACCGTTGTAATATTCATTTTTTTTATCTATTAATTTAATCATCGGTATTGTTGTCCCAACTTATTTTTTTTACCCTTGTTGTTCACTTAAATACTCACCTAAATTTATTTTCACATAATTTGCATTGATAAGGTTTTTCGCCTGTATGAGTTCTCACATGTCTAATCAAATCCCATTTTTTCTTAAACTCTTTATTACACGTTCCGCATTTGTATGATACACCTCCAGTATATAAATCGTTATTACACTTGGAACATTCAATATTGTCATGCTTTGCATTCATGTGCCTTTTTAAGGTACTTTTGTACCTGTAAAACAACGGTTACAACTTTTATTACATTTACAGTTATGGTAATTTAATCATTGATATTGAATTACCGAAGTATTTTCCTAGCTCTTTTGTTGTTCACTTAAATACCCACCCAAATTTACGTTTACAAATCTCGCATTGGTAAGGTTTTTCGCCTGTATGAGTTCTCACATGTCTATTCAACTCCCATTTTTTCTTAAACTCTTTATTACACGTTCCGCATTTGTGTGATACACCTCCAGTATATAGATTCTTATTAGACTTGAAACGTTCACCATTTCTGTGCACTGATCTCACGTGACGTGTTAGGTTTTCCTTTTTACTGTTAATAGACCATTGTATTATTTACTATTTTTTACCAGTTAATTAAATCGTTGATATTGAATTACCGATATATTTTCCTATCTCCTGTTGTTAACTTAAACGCTTGGCTTAGCGCCGAGACACTACCATGTCTCCAGATACTCACACACTTTTAAATTCACAAAGCTCGCATTGATAGGGTTTTTCGCTTTTATGAATTCTCTCATGCGTATAGAAAGTCGTTTTGTTCTTAAACTCTTTCTTACACGTTTTGCATACGTATGATACACCTCCAGTATATAGATCCTTATTAGATTGGAATCGTTTATTATCCTGATGCATTGCCACCATATGCACTCTTAAGGCGTCTCTTGTCCTGCAAAACAACCGTTACAATTTTTTATATTACATTTACCAGTTAATTTATTCATTGATATTGAATCACCAAAGCATTTTCTAACTCTTGTTGTTCACTTAAATACCCACCTAGACATGTGACCACAAATATTACATTTATAAGGCTTTTCGTTTGTATGAATTCTCTCATGACGAGACCACTCGGATTTATACACAAATCTTTTATCACACGTTCCGCATGTATATAATGCACCTCCAGTATATAGATCCTTATTAGATTTCAATCGTTCAACGTCCTTATGCATTGCCACCA